CGCTCAAAGGAAAACGTAAGTGTTTTTGATACTTTATGACATCAACATGTGCACAAGACACAAAACCGACAGTGAATTTTCTTGCGTTTCCTTTGGTGAATTTTTTTAAAAATTTGGCTCACTTGTAACTACACACAATTCCTATAAAATACTCTATTTCTGCTAAAATCTATCAGAGCTAATCCACTATATTTAGAAGAATGACAAATTACAGAATATTGGCAAAACCGTCTGAACAACCTTGACTTTTTACCAATTCAAAATTACAGGTACTATTATTTCCATGATGTGGCAAAGTATGAAAAAATTTCATCACAGGAAAGTATAAATATTAAGGAGTTTATGTCAAAATGAGGAATATATCTGCCTGTTATTTGATGAGATATTGCCATGGTAACAGCCTTAATCCAAAATTTGACAACCAAAAAATAAGCCTTATTTTATCAGTACCCATACTGGTAAATCTCTACAGGGAAAACTTTAAGAGATATTAACTAAGTCTCCTTCTCTAACTCGCGCTCTATAGGGAGGGTGTTCGTAAATACTCTAGAGAGCCACCTTAAAAGAAAGTAAACTAGAATATCTAGAGAACAAGGCTGCTTCAATCTAAATTTCTCATGTAAACATGTAGGACGATCCAGAGATGAAATCACGAGGAGCGACTGATTTAAGACACTTACATGAATCTAAGGCAATGAAGATGTTCTAGGTATACAGCTATAACAAATTAACAGTAAGTTTGTACAACCTTGGTCTGAATTGATAGCAATTCCACAGGAAAGTCTTCAGATTAGTACCGAGAAATTCACTTACCCTGACGGCAACTTTCACAGGAACCTCCCCCATTTTAACAACTTAAAGATATTTCAGCAATTTCCATTTCCAACGTGATGCTATCAAAAAAAATATCTCCATAGTAATTTGGCAGTCATTTCGCGGTCAATCTTTTGACAGCCATGTTTGTTTTCCTCGCTGGCTCAGGTGCTCAGCGGTAGTCTACATGGCATATATACGGATTATGGGTAACAAACAAGCATGGCGGATGTACAGACCAGATTGTTTTAGGGTTTACTGTGTTTTTCGTGGTCCATTTTCGTGTCAGGAAAGCATCCCAAATTGCAATTGATGCCCTAGCAAGTGTAGTGCTATTTAATCTGGTCAGTAAAAAAGGGACTGCACTGGGGAAAAGAGTTAAATTAATCTCGTCGGCATCCGTCCAACTAGGGATCTCGTCGGCTGGCCGGGGAACACGAGCGGAAAACCTCAATGTGGGAGGTCAGCCACGTGTAGCATTCTGCCTACCCAGAGGCAGCTAGCTGAAATCGCCGGTATGTCGATGGAAAATGACGGTAGGTATAAGGAAACCAGGAAAAAAGCGCGTTGCGTTACAGGCTTGAGTGACAGCGAGCGTTATGCGTTACGCTACAACTTACCATGAAACTGAAAGGCTTCCGGGGGAATTTGTTAATAATTTATCACGTGTAAGCAATTTCGCTTTCGAACTCGCCACATGTTCGCTTCGACGGGGGTTTGTGAAACTGCTAAGGAAGCAGTTCGGGAGGGTTTGCCATGGCTCTTCAAAGCCCTGAGAGTTTGCCGGTTGTGTTAGAATGTTTCTCTCGTCTGACGTTTGCTAAAAAGAGAAACTGTGAGTATATCCGTAACTTATACGGAAGTAAACTCGTTTTAGAGATTACTATAAACTGGCCCATTTCTAACGAGGGGATGACTTTCCAACCGTTCAAGGAGATGCAGCAAATAGTTGTGCATGTGTTTGATTGTTTTTCACTCTTTTCATTTGCTCATAAGTCCATTAAAAGTAAAACTGCAACATTATATGTTTGCCACCGCTTCTACGAACATGATGTTAAATTAGTATATAACGAAGTCTACAGTTTTCTATATTGGCCACACATGCGAAAAGCTACATGTGTTTCACATAGGTTTGCAGTCTCAGAAATGACTTCTACAGAGATGAAGAAAATCTGGACAAAGGGAAATTACTCCCAGGTGCCCTCTTAAAAATTTCAATTGGGAGCTACTGTATCTTTTCTCACAAATCAATCGTCGCAAAAGGGTTCTAAATTTTCTTTGGCACCGGGTTTAGAGTAATGTTTTGTCATTTGGGTCGATGACGTTTTTCCTCACAGGAAAATTTGTGTAGAATTGTTTTTGTCAACAAAATTTGAAATGAGATTTGGGAAGCCAAGCAAAATGTATATCTGTTCCATTTGCCAACAATTATGCTTCTGTAGGAGGACTGGACCAAATGTTACAAGGAGACTCGAATTCTTTTGTTTCATGCTTTAATTGGTTGAAATATAATACGTTATTTTCTGCAGTCATTTTGGAGTGTGATATGGTCATGTCTCTCATCTGTCAGTCAGCATCTGATATCAAAAACAATGGATTATTTTTCAACTACACTTGTTTTATTCCAAAAAGGAGAAGTCACACTTGAAGCACTTTCTCAGATCCGAGCTTCTGTAAAACAACGTAGTTAGGATTGTTGCTACTTTTCTCTTGAGTGGCATGTTATTCTAATATTTTGCTTCAAAGTTCACCGGTACCCAGTTATACTCCATGGTAGGGAGACTCTGTGAGAGCAAAGAGCTCTCTCCTCGAACATCAGACTGGCCCTGGCCAACACTGGAACATGAGTGGTTAATTGAGATTCCACAACACTGATCATTGGGCCATTGCATCTCCCGTATTAATTTTGGTTTACATGTATTAAGAGTTGTGAACTTTTGGTTTTTTTTTTTGATTGATGCAAGACCACCCTAAGAAATTTATAAAGTACTCATTATTCCTGATGGAAGACTTGCTCACAAGTCAAGCTGCAAAAGCAGAACTCAGAAAGTGCAAAATGTCTGCTATGCTCAAACCTTGGGTTCAAGGAGGTCAAAGTAGAGGAGCCCAAGCTCAACTTGTTACACTTGCAAGAAACTGCATCAAGTGATATCCTAAGGCTTATGGTGCAGATTTTTCTAGCTACCCTGTTTCAGCGGGAGATGTTAATTTATTGTTTAGTATTTAGGTTTTGTCGATTTTCACCAAGTAGAATGGTGGATAGAGGTCTTTTTTTAACTCTATGTGAACCAAACCGGCAGTGTTTAATTTGCTGTTGTGTGCAGGGTTTAGCACAACTAACAAGCCTTGTGTTATTTCAAGTGAACAGCAAGTGTTGCACTAGTCTAAAATCCCCACTGGTTAATGTTTGAAAAAATTATATTCCTCGATTGTCTGATTTACAAGTACCAAATCAGAACCTAGTGAATTGAATAAAGTAACCAAATTCTTTGAGCTGTTTACAACCACATTCTTTCACTTCTCCGACCAGATGTTGCCGAAGTTTGGCATTTGGGCTTCAAAAACTAAGGAATATTTGCCTTGTCCAATTTCTTTTACTTGGTTGTTCCTACAGTCTGCTTGTTTTTATTTACATTGTATTTTTATTTTTTTAAAATTTTTTTTCCTTATCTTTTTCCCCCACAATAATGAGAGAGGTTGGATGAAAACCAGGGTATGAAGCTAGTAAAAGGCAGACCTGGCTAACATACTGTAATTTATTTGTGCCTGCATGTTTACTTGTCTTGGTTGATTGATTGTAATTTAATTTGAAATTCATGCTTCCGATTGGCTAAATGGTACAGGAGGAAAATTCCTCCAGTATGTTTGGCACATTGCAGAAGATAAAACTGGACAGAGACCATGTCAACTTTAACAGACTTCAGAAAAGTCTAGCCTAATGGTTACACAGTACACTGTGTGGATGTTCAACTAAAAACTGAAAATAGCTGAAACAGGTACATTTCATTACACTAACAACCAGGCAAAAAGGAGACAAAACCTGATAATTGGTGAATGGTCCAATCATGGCATTGCTGTTTTTATTTTTATTTCTGCTAACACGTAACTCTCCACCCAAACAGCCCATTTATAGAGCCCTGACACTGAGTTGTTTTAAGAGTTTTACTGTAAAATGGGTTCCGCAAATGAGAAGAGATTGATCATTATGATAAGATTAGTAAGGATGCTATATGTAAATTAATCTAGGATATGGGTGGGAAAATGTTACCATCTTCCAAGTCTTGCCAAGGAATGTTGAATAATTATGTTTATTGATTAGATTACATGAAATTAAACCTAGTAGATTCTGTAATCTAATTAAACTAATTTAGTAAATGTTTGCAGACTTGATTTTCACCTTAGTTTTTTTGACAGAAACCCACAAAATTTGTGAAAATTAGGTCTTGAGAACATGGGTACATGCCATGTGGCATGAGCTGATGCAATTCACTGTCTATTAATGCATATCTCAGAGTGACAATAATTACTATTTTTGGCCCAAAAATGACAAGATTACCGCAAAAAAGAAAATCTGTTTTTTTGTTTGAACAGAATTGAATGGCTAAGTTCTAATATTTTCCTGTTTCCCCCTCATTTTTTTCAGGTGCCTCAACAATGGAAGATGATGTTAAAGAATACAACAACGCAGGAAGGTCTGCTGAAACAAGGGAGGAAGACCAAAAACCATGCTCTGTTAAAATGCAATCTAGCCAAGAGGAGACCCAGTCAAGGCCACACTCAAGTACCCAAGATGACAGAATTATAATGCATTCACTGTTGAATGAAACTCTTGAAACCCAAATTCTTAACACTGTGAGAGATATGCCACACCCTTGCACATTGAGCGATATTTTCCACAATGTCACCAATACCAATGAAAAAAGTGTAATTGAGTGTATCAACGAACTCGAGCGGGCAAGAAAGATCACCAGAATTCTTGACATGCCTCCAATGTGGGGAATTGCCAACGCAACTGGAGAACTTCAGGATAAAGTTGCTGGCGGGGAGACTGAGCAGACTCTGGTAGCAGACTATGAATCAGATAAAGATGAAGAGGAATCACAAGAAGAGTTCACTGATGGAAATGAGAGTTTGCTTCGCCAAGATAAAGACAAACGTCCAGATGAGAGAATAGATGTAGTTGATGGACATAGAAAGCAAGATCTAGCAGTACCAAACACAGAAAGCACCAAGTCATCAGAAGAACCCTTGACGCTAGCAAATCAGGCAATGTCACCCAGTGATCCTGGCGGTTGTGAACACACCTCTGGTCCATCAAGCTTGCCTGATTTGGCTGGTGAGGAGCCTGGCTCTATAGGCTCGCATAGACCCCCTGCATCTTCTGTTCGTCAGATTAAATCCCTTCCATCTACTACTCATGGCAGGCTGGTCCAACCTAATCCAGCTTCACATGCACCACCTCCAATCCCTGGGGGATCTGTACGATCATCAGGAGGCCCACCTCCACCTCCCTCAGCTCACCTGTTCAGCGCCTTGATGTCCCAGTGCACTAGAAAACCTTCCCCTGTGGTCATGTCAGCGAGGCCTACCTTCTCACCTTCTTTCAGTTTAAACCAACAGTCTCCAAGGATTGCATCACCTCGTCCACTGATGCAGTCATTTGGTCCTCGACCGACCCGACCTCAGATGTCAGCTCCAAGATTGACCTCAGCTTCCTTGATAGATCGTGAAACATTAGATTGCGATCCAACCAAGATGATGCCACCATTGCTTGGTTCTGTTCGCCAAAATGATGTTCGACAAAACCAGATTTCTAAAGCGGGGAATCCTAAAGAAATACCTGCAGCACCTTCAAAGAAGGATGAAGCCGCATTTGTCTCCAGCCAGTCAAGCAGGGCAAACTTTGAAGGACACATGCAACTACAAACGAATCATTCTCGTCATAATACATATGGACCAACTCCAGCAGATACAACCCAATTGCCACAGGCAAGAGCTCCTTTCGTTGGTCAAGGTTCATCTGGCAATTCCTCCAAGCCGGGAAATTCCAGGCTTCCACCCCCTCCTTCCGCACATCTTTTCCAAAACCTGGTTAATCGAGGTCCCCAAGCAGTGCCCACTTCCAGCAAGAGTCCTATGGCCGTTATACCTCAAAGAGCTTCAAGACTGAGTGATCTTGAAACAAAAGTACTGGACTTTATGAAGCGGGAAAGGAAATCGTGTGAAACACTACGTCTGGCCCAACAGTTTGGTTTCCATAGAAAGAAGGACATCAATCCAACTCTCTACAAACTGCAGACATTAGGCTTGATTTACAAAATGCACGATCATCCTCCGACCTGGAAAGTGCGACAAGAAGTAAGCTCGCTGACTTTTCAAGGTTCAAAAGCAGCTGAATCTGGTTGTAGTGAATCTGCTCAGAAGAGACATCACCCTGATGCCGATGAACAAGGACAAATACACCTAGGCGTGAAGAGGCATGCTGAACAGAGACAGTCTTCCACATCACCTCCTAGAGCAGAGTCGAGTTTCTTTGAACCACCACGGCCTGCTCCTGCGAGCTACATGTCCAGCCCACAGTTACCACCTGCAGCCCTAACTATTTCCCCCANTCTATTTCTGCTAAAATCTATCAGAGCTAATCCACTATATTTAGAAGAATGACAAATTACAGAATATTGGCAAAACCGTCTGAACAACCTTGACTTTTTACCAATTCAAAATTACAGGTACTATTATTTCCATGATGTGGCAAAGTATGAAAAAATTTCATCACAGGAAAGTATAAATATTAAGGAGTTTATGTCAAAATGAGGAATATATCTGCCTGTTATTTGATGAGATATTGCCATGGTAACAGCCTTAATCCAAAATTTGACAACCAAAAAATAAGCCTTATTTTATCAGTACCCATACTGGTAAATCTCTACAGGGAAAACTTTAAGAGATATTAACTAAGTCTCCTTCTCTAACTCGCGCTCTATAGGGAGGGTGTTCGTAAATACTCTAGAGAGCCACCTTAAAAGAAAGTAAACTAGAATATCTAGAGAACAAGGCTGCTTCAATCTAAATTTCTCATGTAAACATGTAGGACGATCCAGAGATGAAATCACGAGGAGCGACTGATTTAAGACACTTACATGAATCTAAGGCAATGAAGATGTTCTAGGTATACAGCTATAACAAATTAACAGTAAGTTTGTACAACCTTGGTCTGAATTGATAGCAATTCCACAGGAAAGTCTTCAGATTAGTACCGAGAAATTCACTTACCCTGACGGCAACTTTCACAGGAACCTCCCCCATTTTAACAACTTAAAGATATTTCAGCAATTTCCATTTCCAACGTGATGCTATCAAAAAAAATATCTCCATAGTAATTTGGCAGTCATTTCGCGGTCAATCTTTTGACAGCCATGTTTGTTTTCCTCGCTGGCTCAGGTGCTCAGCGGTAGTCTACATGGCATATATACGGATTATGGGTAACAAACAAGCATGGCGGATGTACAGACCAGATTGTTTTAGGGTTTACTGTGTTTTTCGTGGTCCATTTTCGTGTCAGGAAAGCATCCCAAATTGCAATTGATGCCCTAGCAAGTGTAGTGCTATTTAATCTGGTCAGTAAAAAAGGGACTGCACTGGGGAAAAGAGTTAAATTAATCTCGTCGGCATCCGTCCAACTAGGGATCTCGTCGGCTGGCCGGGGAACACGAGCGGAAAACCTCAATGTGGGAGGTCAGCCACGTGTAGCATTCTGCCTACCCAGAGGCAGCTAGCTGAAATCGCCGGTATGTCGATGGAAAATGACGGTAGGTATAAGGAAACCAGGAAAAAAGCGCGTTGCGTTACAGGCTTGAGTGACAGCGAGCGTTATGCGTTACGCTACAACTTACCATGAAACTGAAAGGCTTCCGGGGGAATTTGTTAATAATTTATCACGTGTAAGCAATTTCGCTTTCGAACTCGCCACATGTTCGCTTCGACGGGGGTTTGTGAAACTGCTAAGGAAGCAGTTCGGGAGGGTTTGCCATGGCTCTTCAAAGCCCTGAGAGTTTGCCGGTTGTGTTAGAATGTTTCTCTCGTCTGACGTTTGCTAAAAAGAGAAACTGTGAGTATATCCGTAACTTATACGGAAGTAAACTCGTTTTAGAGATTACTATAAACTGGCCCATTTCTAACGAGGGGATGACTTTCCAACCGTTCAAGGAGATGCAGCAAATAGTTGTGCATGTGTTTGATTGTTTTTCACTCTTTTCATTTGCTCATAAGTCCATTAAAAGTAAAACTGCAACATTATATGTTTGCCACCGCTTCTACGAACATGATGTTAAATTAGTATATAACGAAGTCTACAGTTTTCTATATTGGCCACACATGCGAAAAGCTACATGTGTTTCACATAGGTTTGCAGTCTCAGAAATGACTTCTACAGAGATGAAGAAAATCTGGACAAAGGGAAATTACTCCCAGGTGCCCTCTTAAAAATTTCAATTGGGAGCTACTGTATCTTTTCTCACAAATCAATCGTCGCAAAAGGGTTCTAAATTTTCTTTGGCACCGGGTTTAGAGTAATGTTTTGTCATTTGGGTCGATGACGTTTTTCCTCACAGGAAAATTTGTGTAGAATTGTTTTTGTCAACAAAATTTGAAATGAGATTTGGGAAGCCAAGCAAAATGTATATCTGTTCCATTTGCCAACAATTATGCTTCTGTAGGAGGACTGGACCAAATGTTACAAGGAGACTCGAATTCTTTTGTTTCATGCTTTAATTGGTTGAAATATAATACGTTATTTTCTGCAGTCATTTTGGAGTGTGATATGGTCATGTCTCTCATCTGTCAGTCAGCATCTGATATCAAAAACAATGGATTATTTTTCAACTACACTTGTTTTATTCCAAAAAGGAGAAGTCACACTTGAAGCACTTTCTCAGATCCGAGCTTCTGTAAAACAACGTAGTTAGGATTGTTGCTACTTTTCTCTTGAGTGGCATGTTATTCTAATATTTTGCTTCAAAGTTCACCGGTACCCAGTTATACTCCATGGTAGGGAGACTCTGTGAGAGCAAAGAGCTCTCTCCTCGAACATCAGACTGGCCCTGGCCAACACTGGAACATGAGTGGTTAATTGAGATTCCACAACACTGATCATTGGGCCATTGCATCTCCCGTATTAATTTTGGTTTACATGTATTAAGAGTTGTGAACTTTTGGTTTTTTTTTTTGATTGATGCAAGACCACCCTAAGAAATTTATAAAGTACTCATTATTCCTGATGGAAGACTTGCTCACAAGTCAAGCTGCAAAAGCAGAACTCAGAAAGTGCAAAATGTCTGCTATGCTCAAACCTTGGGTTCAAGGAGGTCAAAGTAGAGGAGCCCAAGCTCAACTTGTTACACTTGCAAGAAACTGCATCAAGTGATATCCTAAGGCTTATGGTGCAGATTTTTCTAGCTACCCTGTTTCAGCGGGAGATGTTAATTTATTGTTTAGTATTTAGGTTTTGTCGATTTTCACCAAGTAGAATGGTGGATGGAGGTTTTTTTTTTAACTCTATGTGAACCAAACCGGCAGTGTTTAATTTGCTGTTGTGTGCAGGGTTTAGCACAACTAACAAGCCTTGTGTTATTTCAAGTGAACAGCAAGTGTTGCACTAGTCTAAAATCCCCACTGGTTAATGTTTGAAAAAATTATATTCCTCGATTGTCTGATTTACAAGTACCAAATCAGAACCTAGTGAATTGAATAAAGTAACCAAATTCTTTGAGCTGTTTACAACCACATTCTTTCACTTCTCCGACCAGATGTTGCCGAAGTTTGGCATTTGGGCTTCAAAAACTAAGGAATATTTGCCTTGTCCAATTTCTTTTACTTGGTTGTTCCTACAGTCTGCTTGTTTTTATTTACATTGTATTTTTATTTTTTTTTTATTTTTTTTCCTTATCTTTTCCCCCCACAATAATGAGAGAGGTTGGATGAAAACCAGGGTATGAAGCTAGTAAAAGGCAGACCTGGCTAACATACTGTAATTTATTTGTGCCTGCATGTTTACTTGTCTTGGTTGATTGATTGTAATTTAATTTGAAATTCATGCTTCCGATTGGCTAAATGGTACAGGAGGAAAATTCCTCCAGTATGTTTGGCACATTGCAGAAGATAAAACTGGACAGAGACCATGTCAACTTTAACAGACTTCAGAAAAGTCTAGCCTAATGGTTACACAGTACACTGTGTGGATGTTCAACTAAAAACTGAAAATAGCTGAAACAGGTACATTTCATTACACTAACAACCAGGCAAAAAGGAGACAAAACCTGATAATTGGTGAATGGTCCAATCATGGCATTGCTGTTTTTATTTTTATTTCTGCTAACACGTAACTCTCCACCCAAACAGCCCATTTATAGAGCCCTGACACTGAGTTGTTTTAAGAGTTTTACTGTAAAATGGGTTCCGCAAATGAGAAGAGATTGATCATTATGATAAGATTAGTAAGGATGCTATATGTAAATTAATCTAGGATATGGGTGGGAAAATGTTACCATCTTCCAAGTCTTGCCAAGGAATGTTGAATAATTATGTTTATTGATTAGATTACATGAAATTAAACCTAGTAGATTCTGTAATCTAATTAAACTAATTTAGTAAATGTTTGCAGACTTGATTTTCACCTTAGTTTTTTTGACAGAAACCCACAAAATTTGTGAAAATTAGGTCTTGAGAACATGGGTACATGCCATGTGGCATGAGCTGATGCAATTCACTGTCTATTAATGCATATCTCAGAGTGACAATAATTACTATTTTTGGCCCAAAAATGACAAGATTACCGCAAAAAAGAAAATCTGTTTTTTTGTTTGAACAGAATTGAATGGCTAAGTTCTAATATTTTCCTGTTTCCCCCTCATTTTTTTCAGGTGCCTCAACAATGGAAGATGATGTTAAAGAATACAACAACGCAGGAAGGTCTGCTGAAACAAGGGAGGAAGACCAAAAACCATGCTCTGTTAAAATGCAATCTAGCCAAGAGGAGACCCAGTCAAGGCCACACTCAAGTACCCAAGATGACAGAATTATAATGCATTCACTGTTGAATGAAACTCTTGAAACCCAAATTCTTAACACTGTGAGAGATATGCCACACCCTTGCACATTGAGCGATATTTTCCACAATGTCACCAATACCAATGAAAAAAGTGTAATTGAGTGTATCAACGAACTCGAGCGGGCAAGAAAGATCACCAGAATTCTTGACATGCCTCCAATGTGGGGAATTGCCAACGCAACTGGAGAACTTCAGGATAAAGTTGCTGGCGGGGAGACTGAGCAGACTCTGGTAGCAGACTATGAATCAGATAAAGATGAAGAGGAATCACAAGAAGAGTTCACTGATGGAAATGAGAGTTTGCTTCGCCAAGATAAAGACAAACGTCCAGATGAGAGAATAGATGTAGTTGATGGACATAGAAAGCAAGATCTAGCAGTACCAAACACAGAAAGCACCAAGTCATCAGAAGAACCCTTGACGCTAGCAAATCAGGCAATGTCACCCAGTGATCCTGGCGGTTGTGAACACACCTCTGGTCCATCAAGCTTGCCTGATTTGGCTGGTGAGGAGCCTGGCTCTATAGGCTCGCATAGACCCCCTGCATCTTCTGTTCGTCAGATTAAATCCCTTCCATCTACTACTCATGGCAGGCTGGTCCAACCTAATCCAGCTTCACATGCACCACCTCCAATCCCTGGGGGATCTGTACGATCATCAGGAGGCCCACCTCCACCTCCCTCAGCTCACCTGTTCAGCGCCTTGATGTCCCAGTGCACTAGAAAACCTTCCCCTGTGGTCATGTCAGCGAGGCCTACCTTCTCACCTTCTTTCAGTTTAAACCAACAGTCTCCAAGGATTGCATCACCTCGTCCACTGATGCAGTCATTTGGTCCTCGACCGACCCGACCTCAGATGTCAGCTCCAAGATTGACCTCAGCTTCCTTGATAGATCGTGAAACATTAGATTGCGATCCAACCAAGATGATGCCACCATTGCTTGGTTCTGTTCGCCAAAATGATGTTCGACAAAACCAGATTTCTAAAGCGGGGAATCCTAAAGAAATACCTGCAGCACCTTCAAAGAAGGATGAAGCCGCATTTGTCTCCAGCCAGTCAAGCAGGGCAAACTTTGAAGGACACATGCAACTACAAACGAATCATTCTCGTCATAATACATATGGACCAACTCCAGCAGATACAACCCAATTGCCACAGGCAAGAGCTCCTTTCGTTGGTCAAGGTTCATCTGGCAATTCCTCCAAGCCGGGAAATTCCAGGCTTCCACCCCCTCCTTCCGCACATCTTTTCCAAAACCTGGTTAATCGAGGTCCCCAAGCAGTGCCCACTTCCAGCAAGAGTCCTATGGCCGTTATACCTCAAAGAGCTTCAAGACTGAGTGATCTTGAAACAAAAGTACTGGACTTTATGAAGCGGGAAAGGAAATCGTGTGAAACACTACGTCTGGCCCAACAGTTTGGTTTCCATAGAAAGAAGGACATCAATCCAACTCTCTACAAACTGCAGACATTAGGCTTGATTTACAAAATGCACGATCATCCTCCGACCTGGAAAGTGCGACAAGAAGTAAGCTCGCTGACTTTTCAAGGTTCAAAAGCAGCTGAATCTGGTTGTAGTGAATCTGCTCAGAAGAGACATCACCCTGATGCCGATGAACAAGGACAAATACACCTAGGCGTGAAGAGGCATGCTGAACAGAGACAGTCTTCCACATCACCTCCTAGAGCAGAGTCGAGTTTCTTTGAACCACCACGGCCTGCTCCTGCGAGCTACATGTCCAGCCCACAGTTACCACCTGCAGCCCTAACTATTTCCCCCATGTCCAGCAACAACCTTCCAGATGTACTCTCCAGTGTTGCTTATGCCGCCATCAACAAGAATCCCGTCAGTGCTCTCAACGAGTATGTGCAGAAAAACAAGATGGAGCTGACATTTCAGACCGTCAGCCAAGGCCGTGCCTTCGCGATTGCCGCTAAGATCAATGGAAAGCTATTCCCTGCAGCAGAAGCACGAAACATGAAAGATGCCAGACGCGAGGCAGCGGATGTCGCACTGAGGACATTGCTTGGCGGGAGTGCAAATTTGGGTGCTGAGGAGGGGTCGCCCTTGAACATTACTGACCCCCCTGCAAGCGTTTTGAGCAAAGTCCGCACACACTTCGATCTCATAGCTGCACTTTCACATCACACATTTCTGCAAATCGCGGCGTCAATTTCCGATAAGTTCGCTGGGAGGAAGGTCGTGGCGTGTATCATCATGAAAACAGGCGCTGACCACTCTGGTCGAGTGGTTGCCGTGGGGACTGGTAACCGATGCGTGACAGGTAAGCGTTTGAGCATGGAAGGAAAGGCAGTAAATGACTCTCACGCCGAAATAGTGGCTCGGAGATCTCTTTTGAGATTCTTCTACGGACAACTAAGCAGTTATTACGATGGGAAAGAATCCATTTTCGCACTGAGCAAAGGCTCTCGGAGGCTCGTTGTCCGTGAGGATGTGTCATTTCATCTATACATCAGTACAGCTCCTTGCGGAGATGGTGCTTTGTTTACGCCCCGTGAGGAACCCAACACGGACATGTCAGAGCACTCAACAGAGCACAATCCTACATTCACTACCAAGCAACAGGGCATCTTACGAACAAAGATTGAAGATGGTGAGGGCACTATTCCAATTGACCCCTCCGACAGAATTCAAACATGGGACGGGCTCTTACGTGGAAACAAATTGCGCACCATGTCGTGCAGTGATAAAATATGCCGCTGGAATGCCCTTGGACTTCAAGGCGCTCTCCTGAGTCACTTTATTGATCCCGTTTACTTGGCATCGCTCACTCTGGGCTACTTGTATGATCACGGTCATCTTTCACGTGCAGTTTGCTGTCGCCTTCAGCACAACAATAACCTCGACACCCAGCTGCCAGCCCCATATCACGTGAACCACCCGTGGCTTGGTCGTGTTACGGCATACGAGCCTCCACGCGAGACAGAAAAGACCAACAACCTCAGCGTCAATTGGTCCATTGGAGACACGTGCACTGAAGTGACTGATGGGCGTACGGGAGCGTGTATGACACGAACACAGAACAGTCCCACGCCCTCGCGTATCTGCAAGGCCGCGCTTTATGCGTCGTTCAAGGAGATTGGTGCCAAAGCTGGCCGTCCAGAACTCGTGGATGTTGAAACTTATCGCGACGCTAAGAAGATGGCCACCGATTTCCAAGAAGCCAAACAGAAACTGTACGATCATTTTAGATCCTCGAGGTACGGTCCGTGGGTTAGTAAACCGATGGAACAGGAAATGTTCTAACTGATTAAAAAAATGTCCTCTCACAAAACATTTTCTCGATGAGAAGTACAGAACGCCAATAATGTCGGCAACCAATTTGTTTTTAAGGGATAAAAACCTTACCCGAGCACACAGATAATCGAGTTCGTCAGAGAACTGACTGGGATTTAATTTATCGTGAAAACACTACTCTATAAACAATACTACGTTTGCTCAAGTTAATAAGCTGTAAAACCAGCTGTACAGTGTATATTTCCGTTTATCATAACCAAGAGTAGTACAGCACAAGTTTCAGAGACTTGAAAGACGTTTTAAAGTTGCAATAAGAATTTTTTTTGTACGTGTTAAAATGGTACTTTCTTTCGTTCGCGTTTAGCTCCAAAATACGCGGAACTTGGTCAGTTCACGTTTTTGTTTTGTACTTCCTGGAGGACGTGAATATCAATATATTCGATTTGTAACTGAACGCCGTCTTTGACATCTTTAAATGTTTTCCCGAGGATAGAACAAAAGCG